AGGGTTGCTGTAAGGATTAAATGAAATCACGAAGTCTGGTGATCTGCAGAGCAGAGCTCAATAAATACTCGTGCTACATCGGTGTTGCTGTTGTTATTGAAGAAGTTATCAAAGGATTTGGTTTTCTGTTTTAGCTTGGTGTTGTGGAAAGAGCCCTAAACTTGCCATAATAGGCTAGGGTTCAACTCCTGGTGTTGCCATTTACTGTTTGTGTGACTTTAGGCAAATTACTCCTACCCTGCTGAGGTGTAAAGTGGTGATAGGTTTACCAACCTGATTGGGTTTCCATGAATATGGAAATGATTGACCCAATGGGGATCCTGATCCTTTTTTAAAAAACAAACTAGAAAATGGAATAATGTTTTCAATTTTGCAGTTACTTTATTTTTTGAGGCTAAGAGATACTGGTTGAATAAAGTTTGGAGTCCAGGTCACAGTAGATTGTACTTATGACCCAGGAGCACGGGGCACCGTGGGGGAAGAGCAGGGGATCTGTGTTGCAGAAAATCCTCCGTAGGGCTTTTATAACTCACAGGTTGAGTTTTGGGGAAGCTGCCTGGGGGCTTGAACTTCCCTGCTTTCAGGTTCCAGGTGTGGAAACAATCACAAAGAGATCACTTAAAACTGTAATAATGGGAAAAATCTTGAAGCTGAAATACTTGAGTAGGATCTATTTCATAGAAAAACAGAAACTGGGAGGAGTTTTGTGGACGATGCTGGCAGGGTTTGACTCCCTTGTTTCCATAGATTTGACTCTTACTGAATGATGCCTTGGTTATTATCTATTATAGAAGCAGATGGTTTGCTGGAGACTGGCCACCCGGTGTTGCAGAAGGGTCAGCCTCTGAAGATGAACAGCCCGGATTCTGAGTTAGTGGACCATAGGCACAGTAGGCAGGGGCCCCTAGCAGAGCCCCTGAAAAATAGGCATTTAATAAATAGAACAATATCTGGGGGCAGCAGAAAATCCTGAGAAAGTTTAGGGACTTTGGTGCCAGAGGGGATGGATTGCTGTCAACTGTATTGCTTATGTATGAGCAAGTTACTTTACCTATCTAGGACTCACTTTCCTCATCAGTAAAATGGAAATGATAATAGTTATTGTCTTCAAGAATTGTGGTCAGGATTAAAAGTGGCATTATAAGCAAGCCACTTAACAGAGTATCAGATACACAGTAAACAGAGTACCTTTTATTATTTCCCCAGTGATGGGGTTTAAAGATAGCCATTCATTCTCTGAGTCACAAGGACTTACCAAGTTGCTGCTAAGTGCCAGGCACTGGGCATACAGCGGTGACACAGGCAGCAGTTGGAATTAATCGTCTAATCATAAAGCTCCACTCTCCCTGTGAGGTGGGGGCTATCCTGAAGGGTGGGCTCTTTCCTGGGGGCAGAAACCAGAACTGGAGCAAGCCCAGGGTGAGCTGTAGAGTGGAAATCTGCCCCTTTGGGTTTTATTGGAAAGGAATCAGTATGTCTGGGTAATGGGTGGCACGATGATGCGTTCCCTACCAGGGAAGATGGAGTTGAAAGTGAGCAAGCCAGACATCAGGGCCTGGGCCAGCCCCATGGGGATCTCTCTTGTCACTGGTGCTGGTGGGGGTGGAGACAAGCCTGGATGCTGGCTGGCCAGGTCTGTGTAAGCCAGAACGTTAGCACAGATCCTTCATTTCCTACTTATTTCTTTGTTCCTCCCTATGTGTTTAGAATAGTCTTGCAAAGTTCCAGCCACGAGCAAAGTGCTGTTGACATGCTGGGATCAGTGTTAAGGAACAGCACCCCTGGGGGCCTTCATAGTGAAGACAGTGGGAAGTCAAGAGGGAATCCCAAGTGAAGTAAGAAGATGTGTGTGGTTGGTAGAGGGAAGGTGGATCAGCTGGCTTGGTCAGTCTGCCTCCTGTTGCAGGTAAAGTAGCTGAGGAAGCTCTGAGTCAAGGCATTGTCCCTATTTTGTCAATCAGTGTATCCTTAGCAGGGAGCCTGGTGCCTGTTACAATCTGTGTTTCTTCGAGTCTCAGATGTCAGTGATTGCAAGATGCACCATTATTTCAATACCGCCAAGAAAGAAAGAAAATGTTACCAATTAACTGTAAGATGCCATTGATTGTAAGATTCACCCTGAATTCAGAGAAGCTAAACGTGAAACAAATGAGTGCCCTAGAATTAATAAAATGTGGTTGTAAGCATTCAATAAATATTTGTAAATTGGATGAGTAAGAGATTAGAATAGACACCGTTGCCTATAGGTACAGATTTAGGAATTCAAACTATGAAGGCATGAATGTGTTTATCCTTGTTTTCTGTTAATTCACGGATTTAGTTCATTCAGTAAGCATTTATTGAAAACAAACTATGTGCCAGGCACTGTGGTAGGAGCTGGGGATGCAGAAATCAATGAGTTCCTTTTCTCAAGTGCAGGCCAGTAAGAGAGACACACATGGAAACAACAAAGTTTAAATCCAGAGAGGCAAGTTTTAAAAGAAAGTAGGGACAAACGAGTGTTGGCATCCTTTGTGTACAAGAGATGGAGAAAGGCAAGGAAGTCTTCCCCAAAGATGTCGTGGCTGAGCTGGGCCTTAAAATGTAGGTCCATGGTCACCAGGCAGATGAGGGGAGGAGGGAATTGGAAGGGATTAGTATGTGATGGGGGAGGCTATAGCACTACGGGGTCCTTGAGAGCCCGAGAGGAGTATGGGAGGACGTCTGGAGCTTGGAGTGAGAATGGGCAGGACTGTGTTAGGCGGGGCTGGTCAGCAGGTAGAAGGAGGCTCACGGAAGGCCTGAGATGCCATGCTGGGGGCCTTAGGGCAGTGGTCCCCAACCTTTTTGGCACCAGGGACTGGCTTCATGGAAGACAGTTTTTCCACAGGCTGGGGTGTGGGGGGATGGTTTTGGTATGATTTAAGCACATTACATTTATGGTATAATCAAGTCTCTCTCTGCTAATGATAGTCTGTATTTGCAGCCGCTTCCCAGCACTGGCATCACTGCCTCAGTTCCACTCAGATCATCAGGCCTTAGATTCTCACAAGGGGAGTGCAGCCTAGATCCCTCGCATGTGCAGTTTACAGTAAGGTGTGTGCTCCTGTGAGAACCTAATGTCACTGATCTGACAGGAGGCGGAGCTCCGGCGGTGATGCGAGTGATGGGGAGCAGCTGTAAATACAGATGAAGCTTTGGTCACTTACCCATTGCTCACCTCCTGCTCTACAGGCCTGGTTCCTAGCAGGGCAGTCCGTGGCCTGGGGATTGGGGACCGCATCCTCAGGGTGTATCACAGCCCAAAGCTGGTGGTTTTCAGTTGTCCCAAGAAAGGGCCCAGCAGAAGGACTGCTGGAGGAAAGATTGGAGGGTGAAGCAGGGGCGATCATTGTTTCAAAGAAGAGCAGCTTTGCTTTTATCTGTTTTATTTAAATTTTCTTCAAGTAATGGCTTGAAGAAAAGGTATCACTATGGAATGAATGAAGGAATGAATGATTTGACAATTGGTGCTAGTGGTCATCTGGTGCCCCTACAGGGATGTGAGCAAGGAGAAGATGAGAACGCACACTGGCTGTGGCCTGAGAGTGGTTCTCTGAAGCTCAGATGAAAGTAGCTAATCTTATTTCTGTAACTTCCCCATTTTCTCCTTCACCTGCCAGTGAGCCACAAAGCCAAGAGAGGGACACACACAGTTGGGAAACCCTTGTAATTAAGTCAGAAGCAATCACTTTTAATGAAGTTTTTTTTTTTTTTCCCTTTACTGGGATAAATATCCAGGAAGCAGTAACCGAACATCTGCTGGCTGATTTTGTTTTAGAATCCCCTAGTGTGACTTGGCCAAGGAAACATTATCTTTCTGAAGTCGAAGGGTGCAGAACGCCACTCAGGTTGAAATTAGACTCTGGGCGCTAAGGCTGCCCTGAGCTCACCTGGGGAGCTGTTGTGTGTTCACCAGCTGAGTTGTCCTGAGGGCTTGTTCTTATTCTTTGAAAGGCCAATCTGGAAAATAAAAGCCTCTATGAGATTCTGTGTCATATGGGCTAATCTGACCAAAGGGAATTAGAGCAGCCATGAAGGCCAAGGAATTCCTGAGTGTTCTCTGGTCAGATTTCCTTGTAACTCACCAGGGTTCTGTAAGGAAAACAGATTGTCTAACTAATTCCTGATCCTGTCCCTCTTGGGGTGCCTCACCAATTCCCAGTCACTTCATGACACGGCTGCAATATATTTGCCTCTTCTCCAAACCTATCATATTAATGCAAGCTTTTGGGAAAGAAAGGAAAGAGCATGACTGCACAAATGTGGGACTTTAGGTCCAGGCTGTTCCTCAGTGAGGCTGGGTAAATTCCTTAACTTTGCAGAGACCTATTTTTTCATCAGTATAATGTACATCAGTATAATCACATTTATTCCTTATGAATGTGCAGACCTAGCATTAAGCAAAAAGTTACTTCTTAGAGTCTTACCTTGATCAACTATAAAATAGAGATTTAAGTATACTCACCTTCTAGAGTTGTAGTGAGGAGTAGAGGGAGTGTATGCACTTTTCACAGCACTTGCACATAATAGCTACTCAGCAGATAATTTGTTGAACGACTGACTGACTAGGAAACAAGGATTCCTTTCGGTACCATGGCTCCTGTCCTTGCTGATTCAAATTCACTGAGAATAAATTCATCTCTCTTTTCCCCAGGTTCCAAGTTCTCCTACCACCCTGTGCTTGCCCTGTAGCAGTCATCGCTGCTTTGCCTAAATAACTAAGTAATTAAATGCTTAATGTCTGACTCCCTTCCAAGAATAGAAACTCCATGTTTGAAGCCAAATCTGCCTTGTTCACCCACCACCTAGCTCAGTGCCTATCGGTGTACTGTTAACACTAGAAATTTTTGTTGGATGAATAAATAATAAATGGTCACCAGTTAGGTGGCTGCACTTCTCTTTCTACTTTCAAGATGCTTTGTGACTGTCTTTGCAGATCTGCTTGGTCTTCACATGGTTTTTATGCTTTCTCACCACAGGTGGAGGCACTGCGATGTCTGGCGGAGAACAGGAACCAGGGAGGTACTATGTGGGCGTGGACGTTGGGACGGGCAGTGTCCGTGCTGCTCTGGTGGACCAGAGCGGGGTCCTTTTGGCTTTCGCAGACCAGGCAATTAAGCAGTGGGAGCCCCAGTTCAACCACCACGAGCAATCCTCCGAGGACATCTGGGCCGCGTGCTGTGCCGTCACAAAGGTATGGGCAAAACTGGGTTCTCTCCTTGACTGTGTTCTCACCTGCCGAGTGTTTGTTGTGTGTCCCCCTGGTGCCACAGACTGTCTTGGGGTAATTTTAGATGCAGGGGTGAGTAAGACATAGGCCTTGCCTTTCAGGAGTTCACCATGTAGTGGCAGAGACTGATAAACAGCTAAAATATGATGTGATAAGAGCTGGAAGCAAAGTGGCTATGGCGGGAGCTGGGGATAGAGCTAACCTGAGGGGGCGTAGGGAAGACAGTGACAGATGTGGAAGCTCCAGGTATGACTAAATGTGGGAGAAATCGTAGCTAACACCTACCGTGTTTTTATTGTATGCCAAGTGCTGTGTAAGGTTTGTTAACTTGCATCATGTAGCTGAATCCTCACGTGACTCTACAAGGGTAGTACTATTACTACCCCTATTTTGTTGAAGAAGAAATGGAGGCCCTGAAAGGTTAGGTAACTTACCCAAGGTCATACAGTTAGTAAGTAGCAGAGGCAGGACTAGAACCTAAGCAGTCTGACTCCACAGCTACACTCTTAATTAGTGGACTCTCCTTCCTCTCCAGTGGACAAGTTAGGGGAACTGCATTTTGGGAAGAGGGAACGGCATGTGCAGAGGCATGGTGGCAAGAAAACATAGTGTGTTCTGAGAAAGTAAGGAAGCTGGGTCAGACTAGAGCGTCTCTGATACATGCCAGGCAGGTGTTCATCTTGAGTGGCCTTGGGTTGGATTCAGCCTGCTGGCTTGTGAAAGGAAGCGATGCTGGGCAATACTTGTTCATTTTTCAAGTTTCACTTGACTGTTTGATTTTATGTCCTGGTGGCCAGGAATGGCCGAGATCCTTTTGTGCTTTTATCCAGGGGGAAATATAAAATCTTGGATTCCTTCTCTTCCCTGTTCCTAGTTTACTTCCTTAAATATTCATGAGGTGCTTGGTAATTTGCAGATGGACAATTCACCATTCTGTCCCTATTGATCAATCTGTTTAAACTTTAATGAGCTCTTGGCTGCTGTTAGTGCCCCCGGAGAAGAAGGCAGAGAGAAGAGTGGGGGTGGGCAGCACCGCAGCATTATACTGGAATAAAAGAGGCATCTTCTCTTCTGCCTGTTTAGTTTTCCTCTTCCCTCTCCCATTTTAGCCCCCACCCTGGTGAAAATCTTCTACTCTTTGCCTTTGACTCTCCTTTGTTCTTCTAATATATAGCCTTGCTTGCCATTAAGAAAACTGTCAAGAAGAAAATATAATCCCCTGATGAAAAGCTACTTTGAAAAGGTCTACTCTAAGTACAACTTGGTTTAATGGTAGATTTTTAATCATCTCCCAGTGGCGACCAACTCCTCTTCTGTTTGAGCCCCATTAGCCACATAAGTGCTGTGGGTATTTGTCCTTAACGATGCTGTCTCACTATAGCAAAGCTGTATCACTGTAGCTTTACCCTGAGTAAAGCAGTTGGGTCTTAGGCCATTCCCCTCACTTGGAGTATGGATATATGGCCGTGTATCAGAAGCCGCAGGATAAGCATGACATGTCTACTTGGAACATTATTGCTGGTGTGATGTTTAAGAAGGGAAGCATTTTTATTTTGAGAGGTAGGACACCACCACAGAGCACAGATTCTGGAGCCAGACTACCTGGATTGACATCCGAATTCTGACATTTATTAGTTGGTGATCTTGGATAAGTTACTTAATGTTTCTTGCCTCAGTTTCCTTATCTGTAAAATGGGAATGATAATAGTACCTACTTCCATAGGATTGTTGTGAGGATTCAATGAGTTAATGCATATAAAATGTCATAACATTGCCTGGAAATGTGTATGCACTGTGTTTCCTATGGTAGTGCCAATGATACCATAAATAAGTAGATCATAGAAGAGAATGAATTTCTAAGATAAAATACTGAAAAGTCAAAGTCCACAGGGGAGGTACTTCTTGGGAGTATTCACTCTCCTTCTAGTTAAGGTTCTTTCTGTATAAGACTTTGAGAAGCACTGGTCTAGAGCAAAGGGCGACATAAAATATATCTTGGCCTGTCCTTTCTTTCTCACGGACTCTAGGAAGTTGAGAGCTTGAGAGCAATTGTAGTACTTCCTTCTCCCTAAGTTGTTCATGTTGCCTGAGATGATTTTCCCCTTAGTCAATAATAGCAATAATAATAATGTGATGATGATGATGACAGCTGCAGCCAATAGTTCTTGGGCACTAATTATGTTCCATGTACTATGCTGAGTAGTTTATACCCATCACTTCATTTTGTCCTCCCAGCAACAACCTTTCGAGGTCATTTTTATTATTCTCTGTTTTAAGGATGGAAAGAAAAGAGCTTTGCAGAGTTTTAGTAACCAGCTCAAGGTCTCACACCGAGAAGGGGGAAAGGCTGGGATGTGCCCCTGGCACCACCGCTGCCCTCATGCTTGGCCCCTTGCCTCTCTCTCCAGTCTTATCTCCCTCTACATGGCCCTGCCTGGAAATTGTATGAAGCAGCTAGAAGTGTTTTAGCTTTGTTACTATGTGGGGCACCATGAGCTTGCCCTGTTTGTTGTATAACCATACTGGATTACAAGTGCCTTTACCTGGTTTTCTGCTTAGGTGGCAATGCATGCCCCCTGGGCAGGGTAATATCTTATTTACCTATATTTCTCTAGAGTTCCTCATAATATGCTCAGTTAATGTTTGCTGAGTACATGAATGAATGAAAAGTCTGTTGTTTACAGTGTCTGGCATACTCTTCTCTCACCCTTTTCATCTGCCCAACTCCTCCTGGGCATCTAATAAAGTAAGCTTAATCATTCCTTCCTCCTGAGAGCCTTCCTTGATGACTTCTGACAATCCGTGCCCATCTTTGCCAACCTTAGAGGAAAGAGGGTGAGAAACCCCTGTCTACTGCCCAGAGCCTGCCATCTTCACCTGTATCATTATCCAGCCCTTATTATATTGCATTTTAGTTGTTGGCTTGTTTGGTCCCTTTTAAGCCATGAGCTGAGCCATTGGAGAGATTCATCTTTGTATCTCTGGTATCTAACACATTTCCTGGCACAGATTAGGTGCTCAATTAATGGTTGTTAAATTCATGTTACTTAGAGCTAATAAAAACAAAGTGACAAAATGCACTCTGATTTCTCTCATTTTGTTTCAGTGTCAGAATAACTGTGGCATAGGAAGGACAACTACTTTTCTTCCTATTTGACACATGGGTGAATTGAGGCTCTGATACTAACGAGTATTACAGACAGGCCTGGAACCCTAGTGAGATGGCTCTGAATTCTCCTCTCTTTTTTACTCCCCACTGCCCCTAAAATTGGCAGGTTTTACTGGGCTGGGATCCAGGACACCTAAGAGGTTTTATTGAAAGCCACAAGTCCTAGAGGACATACACAGTCCCTGATTTTAAAGGGTCCTTTTTGGAGCCACAAATCTTAGTCATTCCAACAAGGTGAGAGCATTACAAATTAGTGTATGATTCATACTGAACTTCCATGAGGAAGAAAGAGAAGGTAAGCTGGAGGAATCACTTAGCCAACAGGTATTTGTTAAGTGCCACTCTTTCATTTAGTTTACAAACATTTACTGAGCACCCACTCTGTGCTGCGCTCTTTGCTAAGCACTGGAGCACTGTGAGAGGTATACAAGTTCTCTGTCCCTAAAGATGAAACAGCTAATTGCGTAGGAAGAAAGCAACCCACATAAAGCCAATGCCGTTTTGTTCTACAGTGGTACTATCTGCATGGGTAATGCTGTGAGGAGGGGGTGCAGAAGAAAGAATAGCCCTTGTGGGGTTGAGCAATAATGGTACCTCTTACATTCATAGAACTACTGCAGTTTATGATATCCTTTCATTCCGTTTGATTTCCATTACAGGGTAGGTAGGGAAGGGGTTGTTATCTCCACCTTGCAGTTGAAAAACTAGGGGCCAGAGAGTTAAGTGACTTTCCCAAGGTTATCCAGATAGTACTTGATAAGCCTGAACTGAGATGGGTCAAATCTATATATTCTCTCCTCCTCCAGCACCATATAACTTTATCTTTTGCCTAGATTATTCTAAAAGCCTAACCGATGTCCTTGTATTTGCTTTTCCCTTTTCTGATCTATTCTCCTCCTTGCAGCTGGAATAGATTTCTTTTCCTTTAATGACAATCTGATCATGTCACTCTTTTGCTTATAATCTTTCAATAGTATCACACTACTACAGGCATACCTCAGAGATATTGTGGGTTCAGTTCCAGACCACTGCAATAAAGCTAATATTACAATACTGCAAGTCACGTGAATTGTTTTGGTTTCCTAATGCATATAAAAGTTCCATTTATACTATACTGTAGTCTGTTAAGCATGCAGTCTAAAAAACAATGTATATGCCTTAATTAAAAAAATACTTTGTTGCTAAGTAAAAAATGCTAATGAAGTGGGCATGTGCTGTTTGAAAAATGGCGCCGATAGACTTGCTCACTCTGGTTGCCGCAGACCTTCAATTTGTAAAAAATGCAGTATCTGCAGAGTCCAGTAAAGTGAAGCACAATAAAACGAGGTGTGCCTCAATTTGGGTAGAACTCGAAATCCTTAACATGGCCTTCAGGGCCCTACGTGGTCTCGTCCCAACTTGCTCATCTGGATCATCTCAGGATGCTTCTCCTGGCTCTCTGCGTTCCAGCCACACCTTCCTTCTGTCATGTCCTCAGACATGCAGCACTCCCTCTAGCCTCAGAGCTTTTATGCAGATTTCTTTCTTCTGCCTGCTCACTCTTCCTGCCTTCCACCAGCATATGTAATTCCTGTTCATCCTTAGATCTGCACTGTCCAATACAGTAGTTGCTAGCCACATGTGGCTATTTAAATAAATTAAAATTAAATATAATTTGTACTAGCCACACCTCGAGCACTTAGTAGCCACGTGGGCCTGGTGGCTACTGTATTGGACGGTACACATATAGAACATTTCCATTATTGCACAAAGTTCTGTTTCATAGTGCTGCTCTAAATCTTAGTTCAAAAGTCAG